CCTCGCCGGCGCCCGCCGAGCCATGGCGAGAGGTGCTCCCGGGCATCGCAGGGCGTGGGGGCTGCGAGGGCCGACCCCCGGGCAGTGCCGGCGGGGCCCCCCGGGCCCCCCGAGCGGTGCCCGCTGGCCTCCACGGGGCCCCCCTACGGAGTCTGGGGCGGTCTCGGCGCCCCTGGGTCGGGACGTCGAGACCGCCCCCGGGTCAGGGCCAGCCAGTACTTCTCGGGGGGGGGGGGGCCTGTCGAGGTCAGCCAAAAGTGCGGCTGGCGTTTGGGAGATCGCTCAGGATGTCGATCACCGAAGAGCACGCTGATCCCTGTGAGGCGATCCCCCCGCGACGACCACTTCTGTGCATGCGGTCCCCCTGCCAGGGCTTTGTTGATGCATGCTGTCTCCAAGGTGGGGGATTGATTTTGAAAAGCGGGCCCGCCGCTACATCGCACGCGACCTTTCAAACGCCAACCGCACCTGGGGGAGCTGCCTGTGCGCACCCCGCATCCCTTACCATCGCGGGATGTGCTACCGAGGTAAGAACAGAATTCCTCTGAAGTCCGCGCAGATATTTTAGATCCGGCGCTGGACCCCTTCCTGGCGCGCAGAGCGCGCCATGGGCGGCGCTGGAGGAGCCGCCAAGGGGACCCAGCGCCAATCCAAGAAATCCGCGCGAACCTCCGAGAAATTATGTCTACGCCGTCTTTAGTTATTCGATCTTCGGCGCTCCCGAGCATCGCGAGAGGTGCTCCCTGGGGGCTGGCGCCAGGGCTTCTCTTTCTCGCACAGCACACGTTGCCTATGGCCAGTAGTCTTCAGCAGTGACCTGGAGCACATGTTGGCAGTCAACGTGGGGGAGCACGCAAGTCCCAGACCTCCAGCGTCATGATTTTTTCAGAACGTCGACTCCCAGAGGTCTCAACCAATTCCCTGGGACCGGTTTCTCATCTTGAGCCGTTTTGTTGACGGTCCCGAGGCCCAGTAAAGAACCCCCAGAGACCGAAAACACAGAAAAAACTCAAGGGGATCTGGCGTCTCGGGGTCTCGGGCTTTGGGACCTGGGGTGGGCGAAAAACCTCGAGGGGGTCGTGATTTTGTCGTGGCTCGAGGGGGTCTGGGGTCTCCTCCCCTGCCAGGGCTGGCGCCGGGGCCTTCGCAGGGGCCCCCAGGGGGCGGCGGCGGCGGGCGGCCTTGGTGCCGCCGGGCGGCTGGAGGTCGACGCCGAGGCGGTCGCCCTGTACCTTGCCGTTCAGCCTCTCGGGGGGCGGGCGGGGGAGAGCGGATGGGTGGAGGCGAGGAGGGGGAGGAAGAGGAGGAGGCGGTGGCAGGGCGAGGGCGACGGAGAGGAGGAGGAGGAGGAGGAGGAGGAGGAGGAGGAGGAGGAGAAAAGGAGGAGGAGGAGGAGGAGGATGGCGATGGCGGTGGCGATGGTGAGGATGACGATGATGATGATGATGATAATAATAATAATAATATTAATAATAAGAATAATAATAATGATAATAATAATAATAACAATAATGATAATAATAATAGTAATAATAATAATAACAACAATAATAATAATAATGATAATAATAACAATAATAATAATAATGAAAATAATAACAATAATAATAATAACCATACTAATAATTATAATACTAATATTAATAATAATAATAATAATAATAATAATAATAATAATGATGATGATGATGATGATGATGATGATGGTGGTGGTGGTGGTGGCGGTGGTGGTGCTGCTGGTGCTGTTGATGGTGCTGGTGGTGGTGCTGCTGCTGGTGGTGACGGTGATGATGGTGATTGTGGTGGTGATGGTGATGGTGATGGTGATGGTGATGGTGATGGTGATGGTGATGGTGATGGTGATGGTGATGGTGATGGTGATGGTGATGGTGATGGTGATGGTGATGGTGATGGTGATGGTGATGGTGATGGTGATGGTGATGGTGATGGTGATGGTGATGGTGATGGTGATGGTGATGATGGTGATGGAGATGGTGATGGTGATGGTGATGATGGTGATGGAGATGGTGATGGTGATGGTGATGATGGTGATGGAGATGGTGATGATGGTGATGATGGTGATGGTAATGGTGATGGTGATGATGGTGTTGGTGATGATATGACATTGATGATGATGACGACGACAATGATGACGATTATGGTGGTGATGATCATGATGGTGATGATGATGACGACGATGATGATGATAGTGATGATGATAATGATTATGATGATGATGATGCTGATGATGATGATGATGATGATGATGATGATGATGATGATGATGATGATGATGATGATGATGATGGTGATGACGATGAGGAGGAGGAGGAGGAGGAGGAGGAGGACGAAGATAACGACGAGGTAGCAAGAAGGGATGCCGCAGGATGCCTTGACAAAGCCTGGAGGCGGTCAAGAGGAGGTGGAGGCGGAGGAAGAGGAGGAGGCGGCGCCGGAGGACGAGGACGCGGAGGCTCCTCCGACAAGGCCGTCAAGGACGAGAGATGCAGGCGACCGCGTCCCCCTGGAGCGTGCGATGAAGTGGGCTTCCGAGGTCTGGGTCGTGGTGGGAGAGCGGGGGCGGGAGGGGGAACCAGGAACCAGGAGGAGCGACACCACCACCGCAACCACCACCACCACCACCAGCGCGAGGAGCCAAGGGAGCGTCCTCCTAATGGTGTGCTCCCCATTCCTGCCGCTCGAGACCTTCCCTATCCCTGGCTCGGGGAGGCATCATGCACCTCCGCGCTGGTGGTGGCTCCTGTGGTGGTGGTGGTGGTGGTGGCGGTGGTGGTGGTGGTGGTGGTGGTGGTGGTGGTGGTGGTGGTGGTGGTGGTGGTGGTGGTGGTGGTGGTGGTGGTGGTGGTGGTGGTGGTGGTGGTGGTGGTGGCGGTGGTGGTGGTGGTGGTGGTGGTGGTGGTGGTGGTGGTGGTGGTGGTGGTGGTGTCGCTTCTCCTTCCTCCGAGGAACGTCCAGAAGAGGAGGGATAGGGAAAGGGTGATGGAAAAGGGGTGGGGGACGAGCTAGGTGCGCTCGCGCAATATCTGACATCCTGCACCTCCCGCCAATCCCTGCCCATTGAGCTGATTTCTTCTATCCGCGGAGGCGTGCCATAGCAGACCTGGAATTCCATCGGGTTCTGCGCAAACGAACAAGGGGAGCCACGCACATTGGAGGAGGTGGCGGCTGAGCAGGAGGATGAGCCGGAGAAAAATGAGAAGGAGGACGAACAGCAGCAGCGAGCTGGAGTAGAAGAAATGCGACGGGCTGATCCTGTGCTGCTCTTTGCTCAAACTGCTTCGTCGTGCCTGGCCAGGTGTGCCCAGGGAGGAGATGGACGACGAGGACGACGAAGAGGAGGGCGACGACGACTACGAGGACGAGCAGGACAGGAAGGGGGGGGAAGAGAAGGGAGGGAAATGAGGATAAGGATGAGGACGAGGAGGACTAGGAGGGGCTGGGGAGGAGGGGGAGGCGGAGAGAGGGAGGAGGCAAGCTAGGTGCGTTCGCGCCATATCTGACATCCAATCCCTCCGTCACATCCCTTTCTGTTGCGCTGATTTGTCTCTATCCGCAGACGCGTGTCATAGCCGACCTGGAGCTACACAACAGAACCCATCGGGTTACGTGCAGCCGGAAAATGGATACCTGTGGGACATGTGCGACCTGGAGGACCTCTGTGGCTGGTGGGACCTGTGAGACATGTGGGAGCCGTGGGACACGTGGAACCAGCGGGACCCGTGGGAACTGTGGAACTTGTGATACATGCGGGGCCTGTGGGACCCTGTGGCACCAGCCGGACCTGTGGGACCCGGGGGGGGGCCTCTGTGGGACCCGTGAGACATGCGACACCTCTGGGACCTGTGGGACCGGTGGGACCTGTGGGAACTGTGTAGCATGCGGGAATTGTGCGACCTGTGAGATCTGCGAGACATTTGGGACCTGTCGCACCAGAGGGACCTGACCTGTGGACCGGTGGGACCTGTGGGAACAACTATGGGACTTGCGAAACCTGTGCGATCCAGAAAGAAGGCACACGCTGGTGCGGGAGCGCTCTTCTGAACGACGGAAGCACAGCGCCGATCCGAAAGTAAGGCCCACGCTGCAGCGGGAGCACCATTTTGAAACACTGGAAACAATCGGATTGTAAAACGAAAAATATAAGGAAAAAAACACGTGTTGCAAATATGAGTGTAAAAAACTAGCACGCGTAGGGGTTGGGAGATCTTATTGACAACTTCAGGGAAGTAGGGATAGTATTAAATTTGTTCTTTGTTGACTGGAGGAGGAGGTGGAGAAGGAGGATGAGGAGGGAGCGGGGAAGGAGGCAAGCTAGGTGCGCTGGCGCCTCATCTGACATCCTATCCCTCCCTCCCATCCCGGCCCATGGCGCTGACTTTTCATTATCAACCACGGACCCGTGTCATAGCCGACCTGCGACTCCCACAGAGAGACCGCTTCGCGTTATGCGCAATCGGAAAAAAAACAGGGAGTTGCGTGCACAGGAGGATGAGGAGGTGGCAGATGGTAAAGAAGATCAGCGGGAGGAATTGGTGAGGACGAACAGCAGGATCAGGAACTAAAGCGGAAGGACAGGGAGGGAAAGGAGGACCAGGGGAAGGCGGAGGAGAGGAACTGAGGGGGGCGACAACGATGACAAAAAAACTCGGATCCAGAAAAGTGGCCCGCGCTGGGGCGAGACGAACAGCAGCAGCAGCAGCAGCAGGAACTGGAGTGGAAGAAGCGGGAGGAGCAGGAGGACCAGGGGACGGCGGAGGAGGGGAAATGATGGGGAACCACAATGAAGCAAGACTCAGATCCAGAAAAGTGGCCCGCGCTGGTGCGGGAGCGCTCTTCTGAACGACAGAAGCGACGCGCCGATCCGAAAATGCGGCCCACGCTGCAGCAGGAGCACCATTTTGAAATATCGAAGACAATTGGATTGTGAGACCCATGAGAAAAATCAATGATTGAAATCATTTGTAAAAAAACAGCGCAAG